GACAGGGTCGTCCCAATATGCGTTTTTGCAATTTGCATATAGGCAAAAACGCATAAAAACCCATATAAACAGCTCTGGTAGAACCATAAGTTTCGCTTTTTTTTGTGAAATGCTACTGTATAAATTGTTTATTTAGGTGCCCATTGACCAGTACAATGAAATTCCTTTGAAAGTTTGTTCTTCCAGAATATGGCAAATGTCGATTTTGGTGATTTATCTGTGCAACGAGTTACCGAAGCCGATTTTAATGATCTAATTGAGTTTCTGAGGACTGATTTTTTGCACAATGAACCACTTAACAGATCAATTGATCTCGCTGTAGAAGACACAAAAGGACTTTTTGATGGTAACCATGCTATTTCTGATATCCTAAGAACAATAGAATATTACTCTCACAGTTTTCATTTATTTCGTGCATTTACCAGTACGACTTACATTGTGCAGTTTCACTTATATACCCCAGGGGACACAACTTTTGTAAAATATAACTAATATTCGTACTGATGCTGGACAACTCTTCAATCTAGTTGGGAAACTGTGCGACAGACTGAAAGTAAATCAGCTTTTTTTATTGTAAGGTTTAATTTTTGTTGAGGTTTTCTGAGCTATTTTTGAAGCTCAGCTTGTTTAAATTAATGGCATCTGTAGTACACGAGCTTACGACCCTCCGTTTTTTCAGAGCCTCGATTTGTACAAGGAAAAACCTAATCAGTCTTAAGTCAGCCTTAACTTCAGTTGTTTCAGAGGATGCTAGCAGAATCAGACTATATAAATTACATTTTTAAATTCATCTTTGCGTGAAATTTTTGCTCTTATTTGTAAATTAATTTCTGTACTTCCTGCGCAACTTGATTTTTGAAAGTTTTGACTCGATTTCGGCAGCCCATGAGTCAGCCTGTGACCTTTAGCAGAATCAGTCTTACAACTGCATTGGTTTCAAGGGATGCTGGCAGAATCAGATTGCATAAACTGCTTTAATCCTGCATCGGGTGCGAAAGACCGCTTTGCTTGTACCCTTCTGTAATGTGCAAATTCACTCTTTTTGGGCACCTTTGAAATCTGCGGTGGGTAATGAAACCAAGTTTCAGAAACCTACATCACGTTGCCTGCTGAAAATGGATGTTCACCGGTTCCCTTTTCTATTTTCAGTTAGAGAGTTTATTTTATTTGATTAGAAGACGATAAAGTTTAGAATTTATTGCCGTAAACAAAATTTTTTCGCTGATTATTTTGCCATAAAAGGGGTTCTTTGTTACCCTTCGTATTCCAATAGGGAGGAGGATGGGTAAGCCGGTATCTAATTCTGATTTATTGCAACTTCGAAACTGATTTAATTTGAAGGCGCTGAGCTAATGACCAAAGCAAAGATAGCCTTGACAAGCATGCAGTGGTATTTTCAGCAGCTGTATTTTTTTAGATAAACTTGAATTCTTCTGACCTCAATCATTAAATTTAGCAAACGTATGAGAACATGAAAGATTGAGGCCAAAAACTGCTGCAATTGCAGCAGATAAGAGACCCAAAAAAACTAATGCGCTATTAAGCACAACATATCCAATCTTTGGTTCCAACACTGGTATTTGTGTTGCTTGACCCCAGTTCTCCACTTTTAAGACAAATTGACAACTCCCAGTTCTGTTTTCGTGTGACTTTGACTAAATTTTAAGCATTTCTGTTAAATTTTGCAAGCTTCAGTTGTCATGCAGATCGACTCATTTTTTCCTCCCACACGAGCATTTTTCTGGTTTTCTGTCTTTCTCTCTGTGCAAAAACTGAACGATTTACCTACTATTTCGGTAAAGCAGGCTGGCCTCATTTTATGTGATAAGTATTCTAAATTGTTCAAAAATAGATAAAGTGCGACGAAGCTCTGATAAAATTTGAGTTTTCTACTAGATCTCGTACATTCCGGGATTGCATCATCATTGTCATATGCGCTTCGAGCCCGTGATGGCCAAATTGCTGCACTTAGACTGGTTGCTATACTGGATCGTCCCGAAAAACATCTCAGTAAGGTATGCATCTTTCGATAATCATACTCTCTAGTTACAGTCATTGGCGACGCGCACCAAGCAAGCCCGTGCGATCATGCGTTTTTGCAGTACTTCATGCTGTAGTAAGATCGCTTGTAATCACAATAGGTAGAATTTGTGACATGCTGGCTCTCTTCTTTTTTAAACTTCAGGCGTTTAATTGTACAATTATCATGTGGCGCTTGGAAAGGGAACATTCTGTTAAAATTTCAGCTCTCCTGGTTCCCGGGTTGGCGGTTTTTCCGCCAAAAATTTTCACAGGGCCGCATGCAAAAACCGTGCATGCCTGACTGCTGAATTTGAAATCTTCGAATTATACGTGGACGGGGAATATTTCCTCAAAATTTCAGCCTTCCAGCTTTTTTGGTTACCGAGCTAGCGATTTCCCCTTCGCCTCCTCCCTCCCCCCTCTCTCCCGCCAGCCCCTGCAAAAAAAACTTTGACGGAGCTAAATGTGAGAACCACTCATGCCTGGGGCAGAACATGAAATATTTGAGTTGTGCGTAGTTGTCGAAATATTAGATAACTTCCCCTGAAAATTTCAGCCTCCTAGCTTTTCTAGTTACCAAGCTAGTGATTTTCCCCAAAAACTTCCGTGGGGC